AGGTTTGGGGAGCTTTGTGGAAGTCAGAAGGTTTTTCTTGGGGAATGGGGGGCTCAGGAAGGTCTGCGAGGCCCAGGGGGGGGCGTTGGTGGGGGTCAGGAGTCTCACCTGCTCCTGCCGGGCAGTGGGGTCGAGGATGATGTCCCCATGGGGGTCGAGGGCACAGGTGACACCGCAAAAGAGGGAGGAGAGCGGCAGCCCCGCGTCCAACAGCCCCATGCAGGCAGCATTCAGACAGCAGGCGAGGAGCTGGGGGGGGGGTCAAGGTGGTGGGGAGCCCCAAAATACATCGACAGCAGCGTGGCTTCCCCCCAAACCTTCACCACACAGAGCTCCAAAAACTTTCATCCCAAAAAGCCTCCCAAACTATCGCCTCACAGAGCCCCCAAAGCCCTCACAGCTCCCAAAACTGTCACCCCATAGGCCCCCCCGTGCCCCCCAACCATCACCCCAAGGATACGGAGCCGGCGTCGCTCAGCACCTGCAGCACCACAGTGATGGAGGTACGGGGGTGCAGGGATCCCAGCAGCACAGCCTCAAATGTCCGTCGCAGGAGCTGCTCCCGACTGCGCTCTGCCACGCCTGCAGGAGGACAGAGGGACACGAGGGGGACAGAGGGACACGGGGGATGTTTGTGAGGACGTGGTGGGGATGTGGTTGGATGCAACGGGACGTGGTGGGACGTGGGTGGGTTGGGGATGTGGTGGGAAACGATGAGGCAGGGTGGGACATAAAGGGACACAGGGGACGCAACAAAGTGCAACAGAGCAAGGGGAGAAATGGGGAGACATGGGGGGCACACGGTGGGACACAAAGACGTACAGGAATGTGACGGGATGTGAAAACACGAAGCTGCAATCAGGTACGGGGTGACACGACGGGATGTGACGGCACACGATGGCACGCGGAGCTGCAGTGCCAGCACCCACCGGGCAGCCCGACTTTGGGGCGCAGCAGCACTTCCACCGTGGCGCCGTCGGGGCTCTCTCTGCTGCCCTTCACCTCCGCGGGGCCGTACAGCCCGGCCAGCACCGAGGTGTCACCTGGAAGGGAGAAGAGCTTTCCTCCGGGGCTGGGGATCCGGGGAAGGGGCCGCGGGGACACCGGGAAAGGGACGAGGAAGGCCCAGAGGAGGGAACGGCCCCGGTGTAGGCCGAGGGAGGAGGAGCACGGGAAGGGAGGAGGCCGCGGGTAGGGTCCCACACGCCCGCTCCGCAGCCCCGGGATCCCCACGCACCCTGCACGAACGTGGCGGAGCCGTCGGGCCGGGACAGCAGCCCCTGCTCGCAGGAGAAGGGCCGCAGGGAGCAGCAGCCCGCCGCCTCCTCCGCCGCCTCCATAGCGGCGGTCCGCGTCCGAGGCCGCTTCCGGCCGCGATGAGGGAACTTCCGCTCGTTCTGAGGCAGCTTCCGGCCACTCTGAGAGGAATTTCCTCCCGCCTTGAGGCAACTTCCGCCCTCCGTGAGGCAACTTCCGTCCCCCGGCCGCCTCGCCCCTCACAAGATGGCGGCGTTGGCGCTGAGGGCGCTGCGGGGGCGGCTCCTGAGGGCGGCTCCGAGGAGAGCGGGGCGAGGCCTCGGCACCGCCGTGAGTGGGGCGGGGCGGGGCGGGGGGGGCCGGGGTCCCATGGCTGCGTCCGCCGAGTCGTTGTGTCCCTGCATCCCGGTGTCCCAGCACCGTGTCCCCACGTCCCTGCTGTGTCCCCGCATCCCATCCCCACGTCCCGTCCCCGTGTCCCCACATCTGTTTATCTCTACGTCCCTACATCCGTGTCCCCGTGTCCCCGTGTCCCTGTATCCCATCCCCACATCTGTGTCCTGTGGCCCTATATCCCATCCTCATGTTCCTATATGCCATTCCCGTGTCCCCATATCTCTACATCTTATTTTCCCATATGTTCCCATGGAATATTCCCATATATTCCCAACAGGAATGTTCCCATATTCCTGTATCCCATCCCCACATCCCTGTGTACCTATGTCCCATCCCCATGTCCATATGTCCCATCCCCATGTCCCTATATCCCATATTCCTACGTCCCATCCCCATGTCCCCCTATCCCTATATCCCATCCCTACGTCCCATTCCCACGTCCCTACATCC